TTGTTGTAATTCCTCTGGCCAATTCTAGTTCATCCATTTTAGTGGATTGAGGATGCAGTTCTTTTTCCACCTCCTTTTCACCCTCAGAAGAGGATCCCAAGTTGAGAGTCTCACGATCCGAATGCTCGGTCGCTTTCTGCTTCCCTTTTGAGGTTGTCCTCCGGGAAGATTCGGGTTTGTGGCCTTTTTCAGCAATAAGTTGGGCCATCATGTCCTTCAATTGGAGAAGTGTCTCCTGTTGCGCCTGGAGCATGACCTGGTGTTCGTTCACTCTCTTGGCTATGTCCTCAGGATTTCCCGCCATGTAAGCAGATACTTCTTGTGGTCCGACCGAGCTCGAAGATTGAGATTCGGCTATTGCCGAATGCTCATCACTTGTTGTAATTCCTTTGGCCAACTTTTGATAGTTAACCGGGCGAATAGCTCCTGTCTGAGTCCGAGTATGCCTATAGACTCCCTCAAATTCATCACAAATTTCCCGAACAGTCGGGGAATGACTTGTTTGTGACTCATCAGAATCAGGATGTGAGGATTTGCCTCTGCCGACCATGTTGATGGTGACCTCAGGATATTCAATTTCAGAGGTCTTCTTCTTGTGGCGACGCTGTCGTTTAGCAGGTCTAGCGACATTCGTCAACCTATTAAACACCGATTGCCTAGGCGTCGATGAGCAACAACTGCATTCGGAGAGGACAGCAGAAATGAGCCGTTCACACTGGCATGAATGAGCCACTTGCTGTGTTGGCTTTCCTCTTGACAGCAATTCACGCAGGTCGGAGACCTGAGAAAGATCTCGTGAAGGTGGAGATGGAACCCCCTGCCCTTGGATGGGTTGAACATGAATCTCAAATCCATGTTGTCCCTTTTGAACCTGACGGACCGTGTCATGCTCTTGATAAGAAACACGAGAGTCGCGTTTAGGTTTATAAACACGAGGCTGAGGCCTGTGTTTGATTGATGGACTAGATCCTTGTGGATCTTGTCCTGATTGAACGCACACTTGTGGTGTGCGTTTTGATGTTGAAACAGACCCCTGAGGGTCGTTCTTTGTTTGAACGCACACTTGTGGTGTGCGTTTAGATGAAGAAACAGATCCCTGAGGGTCGTTCTTTGCTGGAACGCACACTTGTGATGTGCGTTTGGTTGATAACCCAGACCCCTGAGAGTCGGGTTTTGATTGAACGCACACTTGTGGCGTGCGTTTGTTTGATGACCCAGACCCCTGAGGGTCGGGTTTTGATTGAACGCACACTTGTGGCGTGCGTTTGTTTGATGACCCAGACCCCTGAGGGTCGGGTTTTGATTGAACGCACACTTGTGGCGTGCGTTTGTTTGATGACCCAGACCCCTGAGGGTCGGGTTTTGATTGAACGCACACTTGTGGCGTGCGTTTGTTTGATGACCCAGACCCCTGAGGGTCGGGTTTTGATTGAACGCACACTTGTGGCGTGCGTTTGTTTGATGACCCAGACCCCTGAGGGTCGGGTTTTGATTGAACGCACACTTGTGGTGTGCGTTTGGTTGTTTGAACAGACCCTTGAGGGTCTTGTTTTGACTGAACGCACGGTTGTGGCGTGCGTTTGAATGATTGAACGTGCCTTTGGAGGTCACGTTTTGGGACGCACTTTTGAGGTGTGCGTCTATGTTGAACAACGCGCCACTGAGGGTCGCGTTTGAGTTGAATAACCCGAGGCTCATAGTCGGGTTCATTGCCACGAAGTGTGCGTTCTGGAGCAGAAACGCACAGTTCGGGCACAAGCTCAGAAACGCAGTCTTTGCGTTGTGCAGTAGCTTGGCTGTTCCGCAAGTATGCTCGCCGTAAGGATCTTCTCCTTCGTCGAGCAGCATTTTTCTTAGCCTGTTTCAAGGCCTTGGCCGCGGCATCGTCGGCGTTGGTTGGGCTTTCCTCCGACATAGGTCTTTTTTGACCTATTATTTGCCGTAGTGATACGGGGGAGGAATCTTCAACTCGCAGAGCGAGTTTAAGGTCTTGGCCAAAGGAGAGGGCTTTCTTTGGCATCTCAGCAGTAGTGTTGACCTCCGTAGAGGTCCTGTGGGTATCACGCCTAGCTTTTGGGCTAAGGGACCCAGAGGAGAGGACCTCCTCATACTTGGCTTGGTCGAACTCTACGACGAGAGTTTCGACGGTGGTTCCTGTAAGGTGAACGTCGGATTGCGCCACCACTTCCTCGTCAGAGAAGCTAGTCCCCAGCGGAGTCGCCATCTTTTGTTGGTAGGAAATTTGATGTAAAAAGACAAAGAAAGAAAATTTGACTTGTATTCTCTCAAAATCGATTACAATTTGGATTCCGATTACAAAAGAGAGGAGAATGAATTTGATTCTCCCCTTTGTTTAAAACTGGGTTCTTCTTGGTAGCGGTGGAGTGCCTCCTTCGATTGATCGCGTCGAACTTGCTCTCCGTTGACGATCCGACCGTCCTTCTTTACTGGAACAATTGAAGTGCTTGATGACTTCGGTTTAGAACTCTTAACGAGTGTAAAGAACTCTGAACGAGTTAAGAACTCTGATAAGAGTTGTTGAAAACCGAATGTCTGGTTTGATGTGATTAACTTGCGTTGCAAGCTAATTAAGAACTCTTAACGAGTTTAAGAACTCAGAATGAGTTAAAACTCTGTAACAGAGTTGTTGGAACCGAAAATTCGGTTAATTGCCAAGTGGATGATACCTTTGATGAAAGGATCCTTCGGGATTTGATTAACTGATCGTTGATCAGTTCCTTGATCTCCCGAAGATCTCTTCCTTCCGATTACTCAACTGCCGAGATTTGTTGACCTTGGGTGGTTTTGATACCAGCTCCCCTCAACTCTTTGCGGTTTTGATCTCAGAAACCGATTGATCAACCTATCAACCCGCCAACCCCTTACTCAGTTGAGTAAGTTGGTTATTTATAGGGTGATGTGGAGTGTAACCAACCCCTATTTCCGCTCCTTTGTGGGCGAGAATCCCTCAGAACGTGGGATAACGGTTTTGAGGCCGTTCGACTTGCGTTTGAACAAGTCAAAACGCCTCAGTTGGCGTTATGGGCTTTAACTCTGCGTCCAAGGCTTGAGACGCAGAGTTAAATCTCTGTTAGAGATTTGAGACGCACAGGCCGTGTGCGTTGAAGCTCAACTCTGCGTCCAGAGTTTGGGGCACATAGTTGAGTCTATTAAAGAACGCACGTTATGTGTGCGTCTTGTACTTTAACTCTGCGTTACAGAGTTCGATGTCTGCTGAGGAACACACAAGTGTTCGTTTTGAACTTAGGAAACGCAGGAATGACTTTCTGCGTTTGAGAGAGGTTGTTGACTTGTAACCTCATCCATTATAACATTGCGAAGGCTATTGTTTATTGATCCTTGCCTGTTATAGGATATGAGAGTCGTCAAATTGTAACTCTCACTGTTGGTTGCGAAGGCTACAGAATAGAGCTTTCATCAGTTGTCGGAAGCGTCGTCGAATTGTAACTCTTCTCGATCTACGTGAAAGGTCCTCTATTTACCGCTTTCGATTGTCGACCCGAAAGCTATTTGATTGTAGCTTTCGTTGTTGGAGTTAGACGGGAATCAACATCCATAGTGTTTTGAAGATGAATATTTGCCCATAGCTCTCTACCAAGCAACTCACCAACTAAGTCCAACCTTTGATTTCTAAAATCATTACACTGCTCATCAGCATCATATTAGTCATGCTGTTGTCGCAGCCATCAAGATCAGTCATCTCAGAGATGAGGCCGTGTCTATAGCGGTTGCAGAATTGCGGATGCAAAGATCAGAAAGTCGTCTGATTGTAACTTTCATTATCAGGGCTTGATAGGGATCGACTATCCATTGTGATTTTTAGACAGCCTACAGTGTCATAAATACTCTAGTTTCCTAAGGGCATCCAAACAGCCCCTTAAGTCATCTCCCAAACACACTGTTGGAGAAAAATGTTAAAATATCTAAGTGGTAGCATCCGCTTTTCAATTACTTTCCAATCACTTTCCATGTGTAAAAAAAAAAAAAAAAGAAGTGGAG